TTATGGGCCAACATTAAGATGTGTATCTTAAACCCATCAATTTTTCTCTTGCTTTTGTTTTCTTTAAGTGCGCATAGTTTGTTCATATTCTTTTAAATTAATATATTTCTAAATATTTATATTAATATTTTTGTTTTAAGTAAAATAAAGTTATAATGATGGTAGAACAACGACAATTAAGATGTTTGCTTGTTGAGGTATAATTTTATACTGTAATTGTGGCTGCGCCGAGCGAAAAACGTGAAAGTCAAGTAAACATGCTTTTATGGCTCACATTAAAATGTGTATCTTAATCTCATCATTTTTCTTTTGTTTTTATTTTCTAACTATTTAGATAATCTTTATTCTTCGTTTTATAGAATACATAAGTAGAATCTTATAGGTTACAAGTATTTTCCTATACAGTGGAAATCCAAGCAATGCCTTCATGTTTTGGTGTATTTGTAAGCTTGAATAATTAAAGTAAAATGTTTAGAAATATTGAAATCTGTGTATTCTCATCCAGTAAAATATGGGATAGAATCATTCTTAACATTTCTTAGAAAAACTTCTTGAAGAGTTTCTGTACTTTATAGTTTCTGTAAAATAGTATAATGCACCTGCAACCTTTCCCAGGCGTTGAAATGTTTCAATGTTTATTTGATGCGCTTGCTGTTTCCTACAGGTTAATTCCTATCTGTACATATAACTTCTAATAAAACTTTTTGATACTTTGTCTCTCGACAATTGGAAAAATTCTCACATTTCTATTATTTCAGTTTATCTACCTATAACATTTTGTTTGTTAAGCTTAAGTTAATCTATTGTTTAATGAATCGAATTGGTTTGGATAAGTTGAGCCTTCCATTAATTGTATGTAATTTAATAATAAAATGGAAAGTATATGACTTCAGTTTATAACGTAATCCTTAAATATTCATAACTTTTCGTTAAATCTCGAAAGTTTTCTAAAGCCTTCTTAATCCAGAATATATGTAAGAATTAAAAATGGAATTATGGTATTAACAAAATTTTCAAATAAAAACGCAAACTACGTGCGTTTCGAACAAAAAAAACAATGTAAAAACGTAATGAAAACTATTTACTACGTAATTAAATATTATTATTATTGCATAATTTAAGCTGTAGTTGTAACAGAAAGCGTTGACGGGGTAGTAAATTCCATTAACAGTCAACCTCGAAGTAATTTACCCAGCGCTCAAATAAAGCCGACCATAAAAAAAAATAACCATACTTGTATGAAGTATGGAGACAAAGTATATTGTGTTTACTCATTGGCTTTATTACAACATTGTTCTACATTTTAGCTTACTAATGTAATATATAAACAAGTAACAAACAAAAAATAATAGAATGAACTCAATTTTGTATATTTGTTTCACCTATGTGATATTTACATGATTTTATGTTAGGAAACGTATATTACAGAGACTAAACTGATAGGAATGTTTGCTTGGATTAAACTATCTATCTGAAATCGCTCGGGGCTCAGAGTCTGGTTCAAAAAGGGAAACATCGTCGCTGTTGATATTATCCTCTGAGGCAACAAAATTAGCCAAGCGTTAGTAAACCTTATTGGTATGCGATTAAATGCATAATCCTCGTTTGAGGTACGAGCGAGTGGATTTCCTCGTGCATTTTAGAGCAAGTTTTCCACGCGAAAAACAGGAACAATCGAAGGGAACGCTGATCGACGAACTCTGTTATTAAGCTCGATTAAACAAATCCGATCTCGTGTGATGTATAGGATTTGCGAGGAATACATTATGATCAAACTAATCTTACATATTTAAATTATTTGAGAAAATATCAATCTTAAATCGGTAGAACATCTGCTTCATTCTAAGTTCTGACTGCTGATACGTAAGTAGGATTAAGAAAGCTATAGCTCAGAAGTGGAAGATTAGGGGGAATCTAACAAGATGATGAAGATGTTTTATGTTACTGTAGCTAATACCATCCGTTCTATTCTATATATCACCCATCCATTGTTTAATTTTCATTTATAAAAAAATAGGTTTTATTATGTTAAAAAATTATAAAAGTTTTTATGTCAAAAGATTAATTAAAAAAATAAATCTGTCACCAAACACCAACATAATTAATATTATCGAAGCGTTCAGGTAACTTTATTGAGATGAGATTAAATGCATAAATCGTTAGCTTAAGCGCTTTTCATGCGAGTTTTCCGTGTGAAAGTCATAAACAAACGAGAGCGAAAGCGATCGGAAATCGCTCTAAGCTCAATCAAACAAATCCGATCTCGTTTAACTAGAATAAACGTTCGGATTTTAACATCAGAAATGAATAATTCCAGTTTTTATTTGGTCACCCGTTACATAACTTTTGTTACATAAGTAGAATATTAAATAAAATTTATTTTTGTTCCGTCACCTGCCTAAGCTGCTTAACTATTGTATATTGTGAAATATTAAATAAAGAATTAAAATTATCTTTATAACACTTCATCTCTCTTAACGACTTGACAACGTTGAGATTATCTTGTGAGGGAAGATATTTAACGGAGCGTTAGAGATGAGATTAAAGAGATAATCTAGATTCTTGCTTGGCGCGTGTTTCCATGTAAGTTTTCCGTGGGAACAATCGAAATCGCTGCGATCGGAACTAGGTTCAATTAAACAAATCCGTTCTCGCGTAAATAGAGTGTCTTTCGCGCTTTTAAAAATAGAGATTATCCCGGCTGTAGGCAATAAAACTCGCTTCGCCCACCAACAAAAAATTTTCATAATCCGTATATTATTTACAAGACCACTTGCAACGTACCTGCAATAAATTCAGAGCGTACTGATAATCTTTGCGTGCGTGTTTCCTTGTTTCTTTATTTTTGATAGGAAGCGTCGTAAATTCTGGTTTTCTTTGTTTTATTTTTTTCTGCGTCTTCTGTACTTTATTTTCTCCCTTCTCGTTGGGTTTATCTACGATGAAGATGCGAGGGGTGATAAATTTTGAATGTTTCTTGTTCTCTTGTAGATGTAGGTGGTTGTAATTTGTTGTTGTTTTTGGCTGGTTGTGTCTTGGGATCAATAGTTTTCGGGGGGAGGTTTCATAGGTAATGAGTATCATTGATGATCGCATGTCAATATTTGAAAAAATGAGATCGATTGGGGAGCGTGGGTCGGGCGGGGCATTGGACGAAGTGTAGAGGAGAAGGAAGAGTAGGGTCGCGCGCGCCACTGACGCCGACGCCGGTCCTGGCAGCGTCGGGACGCGCAGCACGGCTTACGGCCGGCGTCAGCGTGCAGTTTGTTCCGAGTATCGAACAAGGCCACAACCAGCCTGGCCGGTCCCGCACTTCGACAACACGTCGGAAAATCCAAACATATCATAATCATAGACAAAAAAAAAGCAAAATAAATCTCGGTGAAAGGAGCACACTTTTTCGGTAATGTTCTCCTCCTCAGTGCCTCCACTCGCCGACCACTCTTCATCAACTTCTTCGCACGGTGCTTACCTGTGCAGATTCGGCATCCGCTAAAGCTCGCAATGTGCCGAGGTAACAATCTTAATCTTTCAACTTTATATTCTATATGTATGTTATGTTATTGTTGTACCAGCAATCTTTACAGACACGATATGACCTAATCCATACATTCATACATTTCTCATATCATTCTCCAGGAGGCGTAGCTACACTTTAACTATACCTAAACCTCTTGCAATACTAAAAAAGATCCAACTAAACCTCTTACAATACTTCGAGAGGTGCAGATAAACCTCTTACAATACTTCAAGAGGTGAAGCTAAACCTCCTGAAATACTCCAAAAGGTCCAGCTAAACCTCTTACAATACTTCAACTGGTATAGCTAAACCTCTTATAATACTTCAGGAGGTGCAACTGAATTGAATTGAATATTTCAGAAGGTGCAGTTAAACCTCTTACAATATTTCAGGAGGTGAAGCTAAACCTCCCCGAGCAATGCACCCGTTATTCTAATATTATTTACACTCACATCGAGAGCGAGTCCGGAATTTGGCAACACTCTCGCGAGTATTATTTACAGCATCCAGAATTTATCCCGGTGGGCTGGGGCATAAATACTACAACACCATGTGCTCCCCTTGTTTCACTTCACCCAGAAGCTGATAGAAACTTTATGAATCTATGGCCTTTCAGCTATTTGTGAGAAGCAAACGCGACTTCTTCGATCTTCGATCCCCATCATTATCGAGGACCTTAGCCAAGAAAACAGGCCTGTTTTCTCCACTTATTACAAATCGATCATTCTATTTTTGTATTCGCGTATGTGGCTATGAAACTCGCATCAATCCGGCTTATCATTCTATTTCGACGCGCTCCTGATTTTTCTCCAAAAAAAAAACTTCTACCATTTGTCGCTGCTTTCTTCCTTTTCACTCTATTTACGGATTGGTTTATTTTTACAATCCCGGGCCTTTCAGTTGCATTTATTTATAACGCCACTCAAAAATTCCCTCTTACTACGCGCGCGACATCAAAATTAATTAAACTAAAATTGAATGAAACCAAAACCAATTCATATCGATCGCGCAAATTATGCAAGGAATCAATAGGGGCTCCCAAAAAAAAGAAATAGAGAAAGAGTCGTCCCCGAAAATAGAATTGAAGACGGGACTATACACATTTCAACGACGCGACAAGGAAAGGCTATATTTATATTCGTTATTTTCTTGTCCCTTTGGGAATACTAGCTATAATTGCGATCCATTTGTCAGCTGCTATTTATAAGGGCCTTCGTTTGGTACGGACCGAAATTCAATTTCCAGCGGTGCACTTTCGAATTCCGCCGCGGAAACTTGATAATGTAATCAAACTTTCTCATCCGATTACAATCCAATTTCTTAAAATTCGAATCGCCTCCGCGGAAAAGCGACTCTGTTTGATGTTCCGATGCCAAGAAAATTAATTGCGCATAGTGTGTTTGTTTGCTTGCTTGCTTGCTTTCTTTCCAGTTCTCTGTTTTCCTTCTTTCTACTTATTTTTTACTCTTTTATTTCCCGCACTGCGAGAAAATCGTAAATTTCGCATAAAGTCGCGTTTACGAGTCCTTTGTTTTAAAGTGCAAAGCGAAAAGAAAAAATGAAGAAAAACAACGGAAAAGAAAAGGCGCGGCTTAGGTTACTGCGGGAAACAGTTGGAAACCATTAAGGCTCGTGTTTTAAAATAGCAAGTCTCCAAAAGTATAGGCCTTCTTAGCGACAACTAAATTTCCCGTTTCCCAGACAATAATTGGCCATTCGTGTCGCCAGGAACTAAAAACAAATTTGATTTTTATTTTATTTTTCCTCCCCTTCGACAAATAATATCTGTTTTTCTCGAAGAACTTTTCCTTCCACCGCAATCACTTTCTCGCATCCCCCTAAAGATCAGATTACTCTTGTTTTTCTACTCGGATTTATCTATCTAGGATTAAGAGCGTTTCCAGCAGCGTTCTTCGGTCTGACACATGCTGAAGGCATAATTCAATATGCATTGATGCACTTTCCAAGTCCCTAGAGATAAGGTGTTTCAGCTCATACACGTAATGAGATTATTTTCTTCCTTCCTACGATCTTCTATCATTACTTTATATTTTTACCCCAATCGACCAAACAATATTGATAGCAACATCATCCTTGGATTATCAACTTTACATAATAATGAAAAAAATTAAAATTCCTCTTCCAACCTTCTTCCAAAACCATTAAATTATCTTACATTACTTTCATCTTCCCTGAAAATAGAAAACTTATCTTTATATTTTATGAATATTTACAAAAAATCTAAAAGAAAAAACTAACTAACATTCTAAAAAAATATTGTTAACTTAATAATCCAGTAAACAATAAATACTTTCATGATTTTGAAAACTTTAAAAAAACTAACATTCTATAAAATATATTGTCGTAAGAAAATTTATTATTAATTTAATGATCCAGTAAACATAAAAAGTTTCATGATTATGAAAACTTCTGAAAAATTTCCGGATTGTTAATTTCACAGTTATATCTTAATGAATATGTTGATTTGGTCCATAAAACTATTGTTGAACTCAATATGCGAATTCGACTGAAAAAACAAACAGTAAGAGTTTTTATTTTAGGACTTTAAAGTTTATTTATTTTCGTCTTTTGAAGTAGTCGCCAATCTCACTCAGAGTTTGTATTCAACGTTTTATTACTCTCTTAATCGAACTGATCTTTCAAGAAAATTACTTTACTGTTTATTTTAAAATCAACAATCAAAACTTTACAAATTTAAACTTGTAAACTTTCTAATCATATTAAAATTAATACAATTATTATAAAAATACGAAATGACTGAACTGAATATAATATTCGGCAGTTTGTAACTTGTTTTAAAAGACTGCCAAAATGCTGTATTATTGAAATATCAATGGTTTCATTAAAGTTGCGCGCAGTAAATATGAAATGTAATTACATCTAGAATAGCAACGCATGTGACGTAACCACAATGACCGGCTCGATATAGACAACGGCGTTACAGACACATGCTCGGAGGACGTAACAATTTTTCTTTCTTTTATTACGTCGTATATAATATTAGTTTCCTGGACGTCGTCGCTTCAAAGACCCCTTTGAAGTGATCCGGGATGAAAACAAAAGTATCTTCTTCACAATAGGATCAGCGGCGTGTAGAAGATGCGCATTTTTTTTTATCCTTCAATCTTTCGAGAAAAGGGAAAACTACCGTATAAATTGCAGCGGAGATTAACGTTTGGCCATGCACGATGTTTGTATACGTAAAATGCTTGAAATATGTTTTTTTTGGCAACTGGCCTAATCGAAAAGAAAAAGACATATTTTATAAATGTAAAACTTTCACAAGAAAACAATATGTAAATGTTTGTTTTATTTTTCTTGCTTTCCCATTTGAACTAAATCAAGAAAATTTCAATATTGTTTAGGGTGAAAGAAACTGAGCTCAACAACCCATATTATTATTTTTTATAATATTTACTATGAAAAATAATAATATGGGTTGTTGAGCTCAGTAATTTAATAATTGACTAATTTAATAATAATTTTAATTAAGAATTACAGCCAAATGGATGATATTACAGTAATATATGAATACTTGCTACATTCCGCAAACATCCTGTTTTCATATGCATCTTTTGGTTCTATTCTATCTATTATAGTTACTAATATGTGATTTTTCTAACATTAATTTTTCATTTTTTTCAAATTTTAACGCGAATTTCTCACTATATTCTCCAAACATATTAAAATATAGTGGGTGTAATAATATGACCGATGAAAATACAAACAAATTTATAACGAAAATCACCAACTGTAAATATATTTCCATAAGTTGTATTGTTTCGAAACGTGTGATGGAGTAAACTGTGATTTTTCATATTTATTTGGTACACGATATATCACTTTATCTTTGAAGCCCGAAAAGCAGATATAATGCGTATCGATCCGGAATGCAGGTGACAATGATCTGTCGATGCGATCCTCATCAGAGGTGATTTCCGATTGTTGCCGCACGTGTATTTCGCTCACGCAACAACGGACAAACGCGTTGTTTACTGCTGCGCTGTTCAATGTTGTTTAGTCGCATCAGGCATGTGGCATGAATAATGCAAGATGAAAGAATATTGGCCACGTGCAAAAAAAAATAAAAAATATATTTGCTGTCGTCGAGGATCCGAGACTCCTAGGCAGACGATTTGGTAGAACGCCAAAGTCACGCATGCGAATTTCCAGACATATCCATCTATTTTGGAAACATCAGAACGCATCCATTATCGCCGTTAGCCTACTTAAGCTATTTCCGTGCCTAATGAAAACCAAATCACAATCAATTTTTGTCTCTCTATAACTAAAGTTTTGTTACCTTTGAAATTTGAGAGGCTCTGCAACTAATTATAAATCTGGGATCCACAAAGGGTATTCGCTCTTTCGCTCGTTTTCACGGTCAAAGTCAAGTTATCCACATGAAATGGAAATTCTGCTGCAGAACTAATAAACGAGCATCCTATCCCGCGGAAAGCGCTCAGGCTCCTCCACAAAGCCAGGACGGAATCTCTATATTAATAAACTTTGGATCCTGGATGGGTAAGGTTGGTAAGGTGACCTTGGCCAGGCAATAACTCTTCCGGCTGCGGCCATAAATAATTAGGACAATTATGCTGCAGAACCTTTGGATTTTTAGGTTGAAGTGCCATTACATCTCCGCCATCATCGATGGGCTTTATCCCTTCGATTTCGCTTGCGCCCATTAAATTTACGGGCCAAGTTTTATATGCGATAAAAAAAATTTACAGCCGCTTCCAGGCAAAATATATTTTGCAAAATGGAAAACCAGCACAAGATCTGTAACTATTGCAGTAATACCATGGATTAACTATCAAGGTCAAATGTAGATTGATACTATAAAACAAAGTAAGTAAAACGTTTAGGAAAATTTATTACATGAAATTTTTCAAATATATTTTCCAAAAACAGAAATTGAAAAACTAGGAGAACATTTATAGCTATTGAATTAAAACCATTAAAAATATCAAAATATATTTTCAAAAATAATGGACAACCAGGAAAATATTTGTAGCTATTATACTAAAACCATGAATTAACTAGCAAAGTAAAATGTAGCTTGATCCTTAACGATTTTATAAAAATAAGTAATTAGTATAAGAAATTCATTACATTAAATTTTGAAAATATATAGTAAGTAAAAAGTTTAGGAAAATTGAGATTTTGAAATTGAAACCAACATGTAAAATAACCATGGATAAATGAACCATGAAATAACCTAGAGAATATTGATGGAAATACTAATTGAATAATTTTATTAAAAAATTCATGGAGTTACGTGGACTGAATTTATGAAATGTTAATTGATTGATCGATTATAAAAATAATTTACAAAATAAGTACAGAAAAAAATATGAAATGTATTTGAATTTTTATTATATACTTTTAATATAATTAAATTGATTATTCTTAAATTAATTGAACTGAATTAATTAAACTTTTCGATGAAAAATTAAAAAAAATACATTATTTTAAAAAGTGGTATAAGTCCACTTTAAAAATGAATTAGGTAATTGTAGTAAGATATAGATATCTTCTTTTTTATATTTATAATCATACATTTAAGCTCGATTTCTTGATAAAGTAATCATTTTTAGCTAAAAAATATTATCGCAATTATATCTAATCTAATACAATAATCATAGTAGAAACAACTTTATTATTGCAATTATTATTGATTTTACTTCAGTGTGCACTGATATTAGCTGATTTTGTTTTGTATTCTTTTGCAAGTCCTTCAATTCCTACATTTCATACAGTTATTACACAGAGTACACATACTCATC